AAGAATATCTTGGGTAAAGAAAAGAACAAATGCATCCATACTTCAAGAGCTGAATATTGAAGAGGGTTGGCTAGTAAAGACAATAAAACAAAGAAAATTGAAATATTTTGGTCACTTGAAACGTCATGGAAGTCTAGAGAGAACAATAATGGAGGGGTATATGCCTGGGAAGAGAGGAAGAGGAAGGCCAAGGAGAAGATGGGTGCAGGATGTGGCAGATGATCTCCAGATGGGTGTATCAGACGCAGGACATCTTGCTCAGGATAGGAAGGTTTTCCGGAGGGTTGTTATGGCAGCGAGGTTCCGCGAGGGACATGCTACTGAAAGAATGAATGAATGAATCCGTATAGAAAGGACTCGAAACTATGACAACCAGGCTTACAGACAAGGACCCCAACCACTTTGCTAGATTAGAATCCTTGGATTATACCACCATCATATCGAGCCGTAATTACGTCACATACTGTTCCCAGTCTAATCTATATCAGGGCACGGCCAACTCTAGAAATAAAATATACAGCTTGACGTGATCAGGGCTTTTCAAATGGCGGCAAGCGGGCCGAATTCGCCCAACAGAGGTCTAGCTAGTGACATGCGGATCTTGCATTCTATTTTCGATCTTTCTACGCTGGGACTCAGTCCTCTGGCCCGTGGTGATCTCCATTTTTTTAATAAACAGTTTGGCCCCTAGGTATAGTTTGTTAAATACCTCTGGTGTATGAAATGGACAATACCGTCATACTGTAATCATCATTATGCAGCAGGTTCTCTGTAGCATAGGTCTCATCACTGCACGCCGAAAAGACACTCGGTGCCTTACCATGTTTCCCACCACCCCGAGAACTTTCAAACTCAGTGTTATCCTTCACATTCTGTGTTCGCATCTTTGTGTTGGTCGAAAGTTTGCTCTTAATTTATCGATAGTTGTTTTTTAAAGAATAAGTAATAAATGCATAACTCTTCTAGCTAAGAAAACAGGAAAAGACTTTCATTTCCGCTTCCGCAAACAAATGAAAGATCTATATAGGATTAAAACAGATTATATTCATTTGTGATGATTGACTGGTAACTTTCTCGTTTTATTTCTCAGTTTCTTCTATCACCGTTTGCAAAACCGCTTGCACACAATTAGAATACGCCCACTGAAATGTTACAAAAAAGTCATACATTGCGTACATTGACAGCGTTCAGGTTACTTTTTGAGTGATGCATGTCTATCTTCGTTATTGGTGATGATGTTCGATGAATGTGAAAATCAAAAAATGATTGTTTATGGAATTAATTTACGAATGAATCATCAGTGACTAGTGACTTGAACAAACTGCGAATGAACAAACGAAATCTATTCAAAGTAACTCTGCATGTTTATTTATTATGTATCCATTAACTTGAATCTTTAGTTTAGTATTATATTATATTATTAGTGTCTACGTGTTTTTAATTGGAAGCGAGTTTCAGACAGTCATTTCTTCATCATTGTAATGTTAAAAATGGAGCGTTTGGCCGGTAGGTTTTTTGTATGTGTTGTTTACAGCTAATATGCCGATATAATATGCGCTTTTCCGCTCAGTACATCTGGTTTCAGAAAATCTCCAATCAATCGCCTTTCACTATATCCTTTTTAAGGTGTAAGAATCTGTTATTGGCCCCTCCCCTAACACATTTTGACCTGGGAAGCCATATCAGCCAGGGTAGGCGTGACAAGATTAGATAAGGGTAATATATAGTGATGACCCTCATTAATTTGGTGACCAATAGTACTGATACCTAATACTTTCTTTTGTACTGGATTTATACTTAGACAGTGACAGTCACAGCTGGATCTGCCTATAAATAATATATCTGTATCCACTTCATGTCACTGTTAATTAAATACATAAATCTTTGGTAGGTGATCTCCATTGCTACTGGTCTGCTACTTGTTTGCCTTAATAGTATCATTAGTCATTTTACGTTTCATCATTTCCCTTTCTGCTGTCATTCTTCAGGTTTCCTCAGTTTGTCCACATCTCCTTTTTCCATGTGCTGTTCTTCGCAGAGCTGTCCCTACCAACGTTTCATGGGGCAGTCTGGCTAATCTTATTTCTTTCCACAAGTCCATTATTTTAACTTGATCCTGTTTCTGTAACTAAATCTTGTGTTTGTGTGTTTATATATGTGTGTACGGCTATCCTCAGAATAACGGTCCAAATTATCAAGGCGGAAAATATACCCTAACAGGGCCCCAGTCATGTGTCAGTTGCGCACTTCCGTCATCTTAAATTGTGCACTTCCACCACCGCCGAGAGTATCCCCCACGCCGCTCATGCGGTGTGGATTGTGGCTAAACTAGATGGCTGGGACTCACAAGCAGCAGCTACCGCATCTCCTGCAGCTTCCTTCATTTTATTTGCTCATGAGTCCTAGCCATCTAGTTTAGCCCCAATCCACGCCACATGAGCGGCGTGGGGATACGTTCGGCAGTGGGCAGTGGCCGAAGTCGCTGGAAGTTCGCAATTCGGCGGTGGCGTTAGTCCCCGGAAGTGTGCAATTGACACGTGACTGAGGCCCTGTTATGGTATATTTTCCACCTCGATAATTTAGGACCATTATTCGGAGGATAGCCAGTGTGTACTGTGTGTGTGTATGTCGTCAATCACTTTTCCATCTTCCAGCTTTGACCAGGGTGCTACTTTGGTCTGGCTTTTCTTCGCAAGGACCTCTCCGACATGATAAAATCTTTCAGTCCCACGTTGATTTTAATTGATCAGTGTTTATATGGGCTGAAATTTCACGACTTTACTATTGCATGCTTTCTCATTGACTCTGAGCATGTCACAGAAGATCAAGGTGGGGCCATACATGGAAACTGGCTCCATCTGATACATCACACAGTTTCGCAAAATCACCTATATTTTTGTCCCAGGGTATGCTGATGTGAAAGGCAGTGAGAGAGCAGATGTCCTGGCTTGCCATCTTTGGGCGGGTGGGACATCATCAATTCCTGACAAGTGATAAACTTTCACTGAATAGACTGCATGCCCTGGGAGTACCATTTAGAGCAGTGAGACAGAAAAACCCTGTAGGAGCCACCCATCTTTGCATCAACCAGAAAAAAATAGGATTTGTTAGTCGAAAGCCAAAAAACACTTGTAGATAGACTAAGGAGGAAATAAGGGCAGTTATAGCCATGTCTGATGAAGGTGATCTGTAAAAAAAACAATGAACAGTATACTAGATTTTGTACCTACACAGTTATTTTTTTAAGTGGTGGGGGGGGGGGGGATAGGAGGAGATCTCGTCTAATATAAAAATACCACTTTTAGGCTAAAGTCATTAAAGTAGCAGTTGAAATATAAAGAGTTCTGATTACACATGAAAAGTAAAGAATGGATGCTATGTAAAGAGTAACCAAGGAACGCATAGTGAGTTCTCTGGTATTGAAAGAGTTAAACCTCCAAGGGCACAAGTTCCCTACCAGCATAGTTCTGAGAATCATTGGAGCACACATGCCAACCCACTAGCTGGATAGGAGTTAACAAATCAAATACAGCTATGTTATAGTAAATCTGGTACATCAATTATCAATGATAATCATTTTCTAGTGTTGGAAACTAACGTAAAAGAGGACAGAAAATGAATTTAGTCCTTAATGTCAATATTTTTACTTAAGCTAGAACTATTATGTTCAGTGGTGTACTTTTCAAACAGTTCATATTTATCACAGAGTGAGTATTCTTTGCTTATTATTTTATGTTTATAACTGCCATCTTTGAGTGAATTCAGAAAAAGCGAAGGATATACAAGGATATGAAAGAGACAGAATTCTCATTGTCCATTGTTTTTTCGTATATATTACCAGCACGTATACTGATATGTTTGCAGTTTTCTTTTTCTTTATATATATTATATATATATATATATATATATAATAGATATATATATATATATATATATATATATATATATATATATAAATATATAAATATATATATATATATAAATATATATATAAATATATATATATAAAAATATATATATATATAAAATATATATATATATATATATATATATATATATATATATATACATATAAATATATATATAAAATTAAATCCATATTTACCCATCTTGACCCAAGGAGCCAGTTTTCAAATGCCAGTTAAACAAATGAATTCCATTCTCCCCATTATGCAAAGTAACGTTATTTTAGGGCACTTTGCAGCTTGCTGAAGAAGAAGAATGGGGGGGGGGGGCGACACATATGTGTGTGTGTGTGTGTATATATATATATATATATATATATATATATATATATATATATATATAATGTACGCTGAACTTTTACTTCACAAAATGTAGTAAAGAATAGTAAGCATTTAAAAACATTTTATGTTTTGCATCCTTCAGTTAGTCTGTGGTAACTATGTAACTAAAAACTAGGAATGAAAGTAGTCTATGAATTATAACAAGTAATTGGCAGTGGCTGCATTAGCCACCATCTATTCGTATTCGGTCTGACCGCAATTGTTTAGCCCAATACTGAATAGTTGTTAGGTCCAGTATTCGGCCGAACAATTGCAGTCGGACTGAATACGAATAGTAGTTACGTTACACCGGCTTCTGCATACATGGCGGCTAATGCAGCTACTGCGAATTACTTGTTATAATTCTTAGACTACTTTCATTCCTAGTTATTAGTTGCCACAGACTGACTGAAGGATGCAAAACATAAATTCTTTTTAAATGTTTACTATTGTATACTACATTTTGTGAAGTAAATGTTCAGCCTACATTTGACAGTATGAAAATATTTTTTTTTTTAAAGATCTATTTTATACACTATTGGTATTCGGCCGAATAGTGATAATCACAATTTGGTACAGCTCTATTGTTGAATATGTTTCAGGTAAACATTGCTTGAACCAGTACGTCAGCGCTAACCAAATGTAAAGAGAACGTTTGTGAACCTGACAGCCACTAGATGATATTGTTTTTGCCCAGAGTTTTCCAATCCAGAGATGTTTGGCCTGAACAGACTTAATCGCACACATCGTTTGATTCTGGGGATTATCATATTGCTCATCGTCGATGTGATTTGGGTTGTATCCGCAGAAATTACCAAGGTTTGTGGTATTATTTGGCTAAAGTGTATGGTCCTTTGGCTAAGAGGTTAGTGAATGTGTTTAACAGATTCGTGATCCTCGAGTGCAAGTCCGAACTCAGCCAGTTGCATTAATTATACATCTCATAAACAGGTCACAGTATGCAAATTTGAAAAGTAACTAGACTGAGCCGGAAATGTCAGTTTTTTCAGCTTCTCGGGGTGAAAAGGTCGAAAAAAAATTTTTTTAAATAGTACAAATTGTGGCTTACGGGCCTCACCGCGGATTTGGGCCTCATCATAGTCTTTGTTCTATCAGGGTCTGCCCTTTCATGTGCTGCTTGCATGCTCAAAGCTGTGGCCTGATCGTTGTCCAAATGGGGTCATGACACATTTAACATTGGGTGTGTTTTATAAACCATCAGCACTTAATGGATGATGTTTTTAGCATTATGACAATCACATTTACTTCCCAGGACATTTTTTTCTGGTACCCATTTTAGGCTTGGTTGACTTGAGAGCCACACTTAAATTATTTTTAAAATTTGCTCTGTGCAGACACAAACCAATTCAATTCCTAGTGTGGGTTCTGCGCCTCATTTTGTAGGAACAAAAGAATAGACCTGCTGCCCCCTGACAAGCATGTCATAAGAGGCAACTAATTGATGTTGTTACCAACTGGCAACAAAGCAATAACACAAGCAGGAAGAAGCATGGACAAAGCTGATATTACCAACACTGTGACACTAGACTGATGACCAATAACCAGTCTCTAATGCTAACATGACTAACCAATCTTGAAGGAAAGCATGGCAAAGCATGTCTAAGTGGAAACAGATAACGGGATATTGGGAGAGAATATTTTGACTTCTATTATGAAGGGGAAGCGTAACTGGTGCAGTGTCAAAGAAAGAAATCTGTGGATCAGCACCATTGGCTATGCAACCTTTTGACACTGATGATGATGATAATGGCGACAATGATGATGATGATGAAACCATAACATCAACTTAACAGCATTCCATCTGGTTCAGCAGGTGAAGCTATTGAACCCGCTTCATCCCCATTCACCTGTGGACATAAAATATTGACAAACCAAACAATCAATGCTTGTGGCTGACAGGTTGATAGATAGGATGGATGAATAATTTGGACAAAAAGTCACAGTTTATCTACCTGAGAGTAAAGGAACCAACAGTCTGCATTCAGATAAGCCAGATCTGTAGAATTGATATGCACGCAAAATCAAGTTCTGGACCAAAACCAAAGTCCACAAGTGGACAGACAACCAAAACTTTCCACCAGAGTTTACAGAAGAACAAGAAGAAAAAACCCAGGACCATTAGGCTGTTAGTTAAACTTCTAGCCACTGTGCTCCTGGGGCTTCCGAAAGGAGGCCTTTGTCATGTTAATTTTAACTAGTCTCTCTTTGTTAGTATTAAAACCTCGGCAGTGTGAGTTCCTCTCTAATCACTTGAAGAATGGAGGAGTATTGGTGGACAAGTTTTATACTGCTAAATAAAAAAGACACTATTTTAATAGGTGAAGACATATATATATACACACACAGTTGTCTGTTATTGAGAAACAATGAATTAATTGGTTGGACCATCTAATGAGAATGAAACCAAAGATGCCGGCAGCGAGAGCATATGACATGAAAATCGAAACACCATGAGGCAGAGAAGAAGATGGATTAAATGAGTCACTGACACCTTGAGACTGCATAACATCACTTGCTCATTCATCTGTGACTTGCGGGTTCAGAATTCAGTGTAATTCTACAATGCCCGGTTCGATTCAGTTGCAGGCAATTTGTTACCACTTTGTGTTGATTTTGACAAGAGTATGGGAGCCGACTGTTTAGTTGACTACTATAACCACAATGAACCACAAAGGTTGGGGTAGGTTTGCAACATCCTCTAAAGGATACACAAATTTCTCAGCTTGTTCACCATGTGTTGAAGTACACTTATTCTTGCACTGTAGCAATGTCGTCATTTTAAGACAACAGTTTGATTCCCAGTGTGGTAAAATAGCTTTTAGTATGTATGTAATTCAGTGTGTTCTTCTGTAGCTTCATCTTTCTATTACATCTGTCAGTGGCTAAGAGATTGGTAAATGTGTATAGCGATTCATGATTCTTGAGTACTAGAGTTTCTTCTTTGTCTTCTTCACGATCATTAGCTGTAAACTGGTGGAAAGTCCTGGTTGTTCATCCACCTCTGGATTTTAGTCTTGTTCCAGAACTGGAGTGTTGTCTACACATCCGTTCAACAGATCTGGCTTATTTGTATGCAGACTGTTGGTTCTTTGCCTCTCAGGTAGATGCCCTTCGACTTTGAAGGAAACCCCTAACTGGGTGACTATTATGACATACCTTTTGAAAAGGCAGTCGGATTATTTTTAATGTTTCCCGCATTAGGACCCCGGAACTCACGCAGGGAATACACATGGAGTTTGATTTATGTGGCAGACTGTTTTAAAAAACTGTTTTTAGACAGTGGTTCAAGAGTCACACTGTGCAAGAGGTTGGCAGTGGTACACTAGCCAACCTTCATTGTGGAGAGGGCACATACTTGATGGTTTTTGTGTGTACAGGAATGAGTGTCAATCAGTGCATGCCAGTTTGTTTATCAAGCTGCTTTGTATCATTTCAGTTCATTTTCCAAGACACAGACTACAAGAAAGCATTCTTCACCACCTATGTCAAGACTGTCATGTTTTCCATGTATTTGTTTGGTTTCATTGTTTGGAAGCCATGGAGGGACCAGTGCTGCAATAAAGTGGTACGTGTTTCACGAGGATTTCTGATAATATAATAGTAGTCAGGCAGTGTCATCATAGAGGATCCTTAAACTTGTTTTTACCTAAGTAGTAGCAGTTTTAGAAGTATTAGTAGTAGTTGTTGTTATTGTAGTTGTAGCAGTATTAGTAGTAGTTGTTGCTGTTGTAGTACTAGTAGTAGCTGTTGTAGAAATAGTAGTAGTTGTTATAGTGGTGATAGTAAGCATTGCAATATTGTTGCAGATGGGTCACCCCATAACTGCTCCATTCCTGTTGAGTGAAAATCACACAAATGTCCCTTTAATGCCCCATTTGAAAAACTAAGGATAAACATATCAGCCCCAACCAAATCTTGAAGCTTGCTTGTGAAATGTAAATGCATAGTGCAGCCGCCATAAGTGTCAACACTAACAGTCTACCATCAGAATTGCAACTCACTGTTCATGCAGTCAGTCAGTCAAGAAAGCCGGCATGAGCACACATAGCACTGCATAAGTAAACACCATTCCAAATGTAATTGGCCACCCATGATATTTAGTGAATTTTGCAACACAGTTGAGTTGAGTTGCCTCAACAATTGACATCACAGCAGCACTCGGGGCATTCCCTTGTGTGCTCCGTTCTCATCTTCAGCAAAAAGCGCAGAGTTACAATACTGATGGTATCGGTCACAATCTGGTTTTATGTCTGTCTTGCCTTTCCTCTGAGTGTGGTGAGCCGGCCAGACCCTCTGGTTACACCCACGTGCCTCATTCTCTCCAGGCCATAATAATCTTCTTTCGCAACACAAAATACCACAGGAGGCAATCCATAGCTTTGAATAGAAACAAATAACGTTTCAAAGTATTAGCAGCAAACCAGACTATTTGCCATGTTTTTACTGGAAGTCAGCTTCCAGTGGTTCGATCCCAGCGGCGGGCCAATCGCCTTGCGTTGGTTTTGACAGTGGTATCAAGACAGCCGACCGTCCAGAAAGAAATGGCAAACTAATGGATGTAAATTTGCCTAGAAAAACCACACAACAGCCAGGGGCTGTTGGGGTTAATTCTGCAACGTCCTGTAAAGGATACACACTAACCAGCTGCCAGTTCAACTACTGATTGACTTCATGAAAGAATGATTATTATTTGCATTCTTGTCATAATAAGCATGTGGAATCTGAGTTCCTGTTTCATCTATTGCCCCTGAATGTGAACTTGCTTATGGATTTAAAACAGCTGGTGTCAGAAGGTATCAGGCAATACAAATGGGCATATTCTGATGTGAAGTGGACAGAGAATCAGGCACTGAAATAAGAAACACATGGATTAAGAAAGTAAGGGTATCAAAGAGAAACCTTGCAACAAATAACAAAGAATGTCAAAGGTGCCATCCATCCTCTGAAACATTTTTTCAAACTATCTATCCATCCTACCTATCAACCCCTCAACCATATCCATTGATTGTTTGGTCTGTCAATATATTGTTATATCCACAGGTTAATGGGGAGGAAGTGGGTTCAGTAGCTTCACCTGCTGAACCAGATGGAATGCTGGTAAGTTAATGTTATTCTTTTATCATCATCATTGTTGCCATTATTGACATCATCATCATCATCAGTGTCATCAGGTTGCACCCAGTAGTGCTTATCGAAAGATTTCTTTCTTTGACACAATATCAGTTATGCTTTCCCATCATAATAAAAGTCAAATCTGTTACTACCACATACATGCTTTTCCATGCTTTCCTTCAAGATCGCTCAGTCATGTTAGCATTAAAGACTGGTTATTGGTCATCAGTCTAGCCATCACAGTGTTGATAATATCAGCTTTATCCATGCTTATTCTTGCTTGTGTTAATGCTTTGTTGCCGGTTAATCAACACATTAATTACCCTTTACATTAGATAATAAGAGTTGTTGCCAGTTGGAAAACACATTAATTACCCTTTACATTAGATAATATGTGTTGCTGCCAGTTGGAAAACACATTAATTACCCTTTACATTAGATAATAAGTGTTGCTGCCAGTTGGAAAACACATTAATTACTCTTTACATTAAATATTAAATGTTGTTGCAAGTAAAAAAGTGTTTAACATTAAAAGAAAAAAAAAAGGGCTATCCTCCGAATAATGGTCCCAAATTATCGAGGCTGAAAATATACCCTAACAGGCCCTCATTCACATTTAAATTGCGGACTTCCGGCAACTGCCGCCACCACCGAGAATATCTTCCACGCCGCTCCACGAGGCGTGGAGCGGGGCTTAACTAGATGGCTGGGACTCACGAGCAAATAAAATAAAGGAAGATTCAGTAGCTGCTGTTCATGAGTCCCATCCATCTAGTTAAGCCCCGCTACACACCGCGTGTAGTGGCGTGGAAGATACTCTCAGTGGTGGCAGTAGTTGCTGGAAGTCCGCAATTTAAGTTGCCGGAAGTCCGCAATTTACATGTAACTGAGGCCCTGTTAGGGTTATTTTTCGGACCGTTATTCGGGGGATAGCCCAAAAAAAAAGACACTAATTTTTTTTTTCCAGATAAACCGCTTCCTCAGATTTCAATAGGTGCCTATTTAGTCTGGAAAATAACCCAGAAGACACATTCCTTATCAGTCACTAGGCCGGATTCTAGCAGAAGACATCTTAAAGTAAAATTAGGCTGTGTCTTGATTGATCTTGACTCATTTGCTGAATCATCATTCATGTGTGTATAAAGCAGTTGTGCAGTGTTCTGCTGCTGTTTCTGAGCTGTTGTTGCTTTCAGACATTGTTTGTGAAAAAAAAAATAATACTAATTTTCTGCAGTCTCCTTTTATAGCAGTAAGTTATAGTGTTCATAAACTATGACTTGACTGATAAAGAAAATAGGGGCCTTTGAGCTGAAATGCTATAGATGAATTCTTAGAATACCAAGGACAGAATCTGAATAATAATTAAGATTGGCTGGTAAACAACATCTTGTACCAGGAACTGAAATTTTTTAGCCACAGGGAATTATAAAACATTAAAGCAGAATGTATGGTACCATAAAAGAGGGACAGAGGCTGACCAGCATGATATAAGTGACATCTCAGCTTGGAAAGTGCGCGAGGTGGAAGAACTGGCAAGAGACTGAGTTTCTTACAGGCAGACTATGATGAGAGAGACATTCTCCAAAGGACCTGCTGTGTGGTGATGATGACTCTGTGACTCGCATCATTACCAACTAATTGATTTGGTTGATACATTCAGGGGTCTCCTGTATACGTTCCTGTGAAGTATGAGAATTACGACAGCCATACAAGTGGAGGGGAGTCAGATGATGCCTGTAGTAAGTAGTGGTCTGGCTTATGTTATTTATTTGTTCATTGTAGCTCTTTTTCTTTTGTCCTTAATCCCCAGTTGGAGCATCTGCCTCAGCCAATTTACACCAAGTCGTCACATTTGGCCCAGCCAATTTACACCTAGTCGTCACATTTGGCTCAGCCAATTTACACCAAGTCGTCTTTCTTTTGCTATGTCCTGCAATTCATACCAATGTCTTCCTCATATTATGAATCCTACAATTATTTTCTCCATAAGAAGAGGATGGAGAGATAATGTCCAGGCAAACCTGCAAACACTTGATGTCACCAACTGGAAAGAGAAGGCCAACCAGAGAGAAGAATGGAGGTGGGTGATATCTGCAGCTATGAACCTCAAGGGGAATGCTAAAAAGAAAATATACTTTTAAGTTTCTTTCTAGCTATTTAAGATTGTGGGTTCCAGTACAGAACTATCTGGTTGGTTATATTATTGCTGTCTTTCCGAAATCTTACATAGTTCTAACATACCAGGTATTAATTCTTGAGATTTTCATAGGTGAAGGGAGAACATCTTATGCAATTGATCCCTTTGGTGTATATGGTACAGGAAGCATATTTTTTATTGACCAGTGTGTATATCAGGATTGGATAATGGGCTCACCAGGCAACTTTGAGTAAGATCATGGAGATAACAGACAGCTGCTTTCAGAACACTAGCATGGATAGCAGAATAGGCAGCCCTACACATGGTGATTATATCCGATTCCATAAAACATGTTTCAGAAAATGTGAATGCGTAGATGGCAGTTGAATGTCACACTTAACCTCCCTCACCTAGATCTTCAAACCTGGGCATGCCAGAGTAAAAGGTAATATTGCACTACTGCCAGAAGGGGAGATACATGGACAGAGTAGATATCATCAATGCTATGCAAACTAGACTGGTGAAGAATGGTGAGTCTCTTACACTAACATGATTACATTACCACGGAGTAAAGGATGTCGATGCTGCTTTCGGGGTCACAATCTGAGACATTATAACCAGGCTCTGATGGCAGCAATCAGTAGATGTCATTGGGGTGACTGTTGCATTGGAAGACAGAATGCATGTGAGTGTGCAGTGACATCTGTTGGTAGTAAGGCCAACATTGCAGCTGGTCCCTTTACTTTCCAGGACATTTCCTAGTGCCTATATTAGGCTGGGAGCCAAGATCATTTAATAAAAATCAACCTCAGTGTGGATTTGAATACAAAACCTTTATGCCAGTAGGCAGGCGTACCCACGATTCCCTAAGGTAGTAAAGACTGTTTTATATATGAAGTGCTCCAGGTGGTCCCGCTGCCTCATTGTGGAGGAAAACAAGAACAGACCTACTGCCTCCCTAACAAGCAGATTGTAGTAGTCGACTAATTAAGGGATTTTTTTCAAAGTTGGAGTGCATCTACATGAGAGGCAAGGAACTAACAGTCTGCATACAGTTATGCCAGATTTATAAAACAGGTGCACACACTAAATTTAGGTCCCAGACCAAAGCCAAAGTCTTGAAATGGACAAACAACCAGGACATTCTGCTGGGGTTTACAGCTGGTGAACACAAACAAACATGAAGTGAAAGAAGAGGACAGTGATGATTACAACCAATAAGGAGAGGGAGGAGACAAGTTAGATGAGTTTTCTGGGATCTGATAAGGTCAGTTTGGTTTCATAAATGAATGGTAAACATAATTTATTTAAAATCTTTGAAATTTGCTTTAAAATTTAGCAGTGATCATAAAGTCTCTAAAATTCAGCTTATTTCTATATAGTTACTGTAAATTGTTATCATAGATTTTTATCATGCCTGTTATTATTTTTATCTGTTTATTATAAACTAGATGGCGGTTCAAACAAAACAGTGAGGTTCAGCAAAGTGTCAGAAGTTCGCCAACTTTCAGGTTTGTATTTTTCTCATCATCATCATTAATTTCCACTTCTGCCGTTAATCATTATGGGGAGGAACAGTTTGCGATTCATTGTTTGATGGGCAGCACTGGCTGTTGTCATTCCATTTAGATGTAGAAGCTCTTTAATGTCATCAGTCCATCCTCTCCTAGGGCGGCCTCTTGATTTCACTTCAGATATCTTCATGTGTAACTCCTGCGTTGGTAGTTGTTCTGGCTACATTCTTTTTTAAATGACCAAACCATTTGATCTTGTTTCTCAATGAATTTGCTGCATGGTGTTGTTCATACATTTTCTAACTTTGTCTCGGATTGTCAAGTTAGCGGCTTTTCTCGGGCATCTCATTTCACAGGTGTTAATTTTATATAGGTTAGCCTTTGATAATGTCTCAAGTCTGGACATACCTCAGTGTTGGTATAAACATGCTGTTTATAATCTGTTTCTTGGCGCTTATACTTTTGTTTGGATGTCTTAACAATGGTATCAGTTGGTATATAAGTGCTCTAGCTCATTGGCATCATGTTTCTTTTTCCCAATCTAGTCTTCCGTCCTCTGTGAATATACTTCCTAGATATTTAAACTCTTGAACTTGCATCAAATATATACCTTTTAACCTGATGTGTAGCAGACTAGGAATTCTGCTGACTTGCATTACCTCAGTTTTAGCAGTATTTATTTTCATTTTCCATCTTCTGCATGTTGAACTTAGCCTGTTCTTGTAGTCTTTGCTCCTCTTTGTAGAACAGGCGCTGATCGTCTACAAATAGTAGCTCCTTTGTTGTGTAGGGATCTAATTCCTCCTCTAAAAAGTTAAGTTCCTCATTTTCTGGGTCGAATGCTTTAATGCTGGCTTTTTTTAAATATTTGGTCAATGTATATAAGAGAGAAGAGAGCATACGTCGTTGCCTTACCCCTGTATTGATTGTAAACATATCAGATATGTTCTCACTGCGCTTTGGGAAGAGTGGTACATAGCCACGATGTTATCTAACAACTGCCTCTGTATCCCATAATCCTCTAGAATAGCCCATAGTTTGTTTCTGTCTGCTCTGTTTTTCTCATCACTGTTTTTAATCTTCATAGTTTTTAATGCAGTAAAACCTTACTAAAAAAAATTCAAGTGGGCTGAAAGCGTCAAATCAAGAGTTTATGTTAACTCTTTGAGTCCCAAGGGTTTTAGCATCACAGGCCCAAGGGGTAGTCAAAAGAGATGTAAAATCGGCACATCTTGTGTTCATTGGGCTTCTAGGTAGGAATTTATGAACGTGTAATGCGTTCCTTGGGACTCAAAGAGTTAAGAGATTTGTGCTAACTGGGGACTGATAGATGTAATATGAATAAAACAGCTGAGACAAAAATTGTGTTCTTGTTAACTGAATGTTCATCATAAACATGTTAATGTTAATGAGGGTTTACTGTAGTGTAGTTCATTGTATGTTCTTGAACACTTATATTTCCTGCAAGTGTATTGAAAACTTCTATTATTTGTTTATATTCTTTAATTGCATGTGTAGTCCATATGAGGAAGACAAATACTGCAAAAGGCCTGACTCCGTATTCCTATCCAGGCTAAGGGACATGGATCTTCAACCTGAACCTGCAGGACATGAACATTTCATCAGGGGCACACAGCATTTGATTAATCAACACAGCACTGCCGTTATCAATCGTTTTACGCTAGTGGGGCTACTGAGGAGGAAATTGGAGCACCTGTGGATCTGTCCTGAGTGCTCTGATGATTATCCTCGCTAATCACGTGTGTGCTTCGAACATTATAACCTGTGCAAACAGTATCATCTCGTAGTCGTCGGTGTAACACACCTGGAGCAAGGATACAAACTACAGTTGTCCACATTGCTTTCCTAGTTTTCAAAGACCTTGGTCTCCCTCCCTCCTCTCCTCCAAATCCGACACTATCTTAGAAGTCAGGACAGCAGGCTACAACATTTTTGCAGGACTGTAATGGATGCCCCATTTTATAACTGTTTTGGAAGTTGAACAGGGTATCTGGGGTTTGTTATGTCGGCTTGCCATTCAGATTGAGATTTCTGTAATGTAAGGATAGTCAAACATTTTGGTAGTAGCCTAGATTGGTAATGGATGACAGCAATTTACCTCTGTATGATTATTTGCTTTAGCCTTGTTTTCTATCTTGCGTTGGTTTTGGCAGTGGTATCAAGAAAGCCGACAGTCTAGAAAGAAATGGCAAACTGCTGGACGTAAATTTGCCTAGAAAAACAACACAACAGCCAGGGGCTGTTGAGGTTGGTTCTGCAACGTCCTGTAAAGGATACGCAACTAACCTTGTTTTCTATGCAGATTTGTATGATTTTTTTTTTTGCTGCACAGAAAAATATGCTTTAGAGCACAACTTGGCTCGCTTGTCCTACCAGGCAAGCATGGAAGCAACAGAAAAGCTTACTATTCTACAGAATCGATTGCCGGTGAAACAAGTGGTGAAGCTAGCCTTCTACTTTGGCTTACTGGTAGGTGCTTGTCTTTCTTGTTAAACTGAAGATAAACCTGCATGTGTGGTAGAACTGAGAATGGACATCATTATCATTATTCTGCTGTACTGTTTACATATCAAATAGGCCTCGCAGTCTTTTCGTCCTTTCTGCAGCACAGCCAGGCATGTTGTAATTGTAACTGACTCACAGAGCACGCTTCAGAAAATTGGAACTGGTTTCCTGCATACAGAGTGGCTTGCATCACTTGAAAAGACTCACATCAGGAGCATATCAAGGCTTTTCTGTCCAGGATATTCAGGTGTGCCTGGTAATGAGCAGGCTGATAGATCAGCTGGAGCTCTCCTTTGGGCAGTGAGCTACCTAATGATAAAGCGGATGTAGTGGAGGGCTCTCTGGGATCAAATGGACAGTGCAGTAGAACAGACAGAGAATTCATACATTTAGCAAGGGTGGGTGGGGAATGGGGGGAGGGGAGAGATTATTAAAGGTTCAGAAACATATTCCACCACTTAAGGGGAAACATAAATGGACTTTCAATCAGGTTGCAAACAGTTGCTATTAGCATGTCGACTTTTCTGTGGCTACTGAAGACATTCACTTATTCATTCCTCCATTCTGTCCAATCCTACGTAATCTTTTCTATGTCTTAGTTGGTCTTCATTTCATCACCTTTGGTTTTTCATCAACATATGTCTTAGTGTTTATCTTGGGCATCCATATTGCCATAGTCAATTTGTTTCCTATTTTATTACCTGTTTTGTACTTCCCTCCTCTAGATTATATCACCTTCTTTTTTTTCATGTTATAAATGTTGATACCAGTGGTTGTCCAGGCATTTCTCTTCAGTTAATTTGCTAAAACTGAGAATGGACAACAGCAGTAATAATCAGGAAGTCTCTGTGATCAATAAGCAGTTTGCCTCCAGCTGTGAAGGTGATCGGTTTGGTTTTGAACTCTGTGTTTGATTCCTAAGTGTACTGCATGTTTTTTAGGTGACCAGCCAGTTCATATTTGAAAATGCAGATTATATGTCAGGGTTACAGAGTACAGTTAAACAGAGAATGTTGTGACAAGCCCTCATCAACAAACAAAACACAACACAAATAAAGTAAGGAAATAAGTGAATAAGTTTATAAATTAATATATTAAGAATTTACATCACTGCACATTGGACAGTCCCACATGTGCCCTGTCTCCTTCCCGAATAGCCGACAAGAAGTTCCCTTACTGATGGTGCCATTTGCAGACTTAATAAAAGCTTGCTTGTCATTTCCATTGTATGTTGTAAACTGTCAGGACCCTCTGCCAACTCTACACTGAATCAGTCTTTCGAGGCAGGAATACTGTGTCTGTCCATGATCTCAGAGACACTTCACCACATCCACTTTATTGTAAAGTAGCTCACTAGTCAGAGGCTTGGCAGCAGCCAGTCTACTAGCTTGCTCATTATCCTGCATTCCTGAATGTCCAGGGCAGAAAATTCAAAACGTTCTCCTGATCTGGGTCTTAGTAAATAATGCAAGCCGCTCTGCACATTAGACACCGGTCGATTTGATAAAGCATGCTCTGTGAGTCATAACAGTTACATCGTGCTGGAATGTTTGATTTTTTGTGTATATAAAATGCAACATAATTTTAGAATAAATTTAAAAAAAAAAAAAATAATGCAATTAGAAATATTGCTTTACAGTCATCATAAATATTTGTGTTGAAATAAACATCAGATCAAATCTAGTATTCAAGTTATGTTTGGTTGCATCATTGAAGAAATTGTGTAACTGGGAGATTTGTAGCAGTAAATGTATTGAGTGAATTAGGCATGTATAAGAGATGGCATAGAGCTTTTGCAATCATTGTGGCAGATGATGCCTGTCTTTTTCCCCCACAGTGGTTCTGTGCCAGCTACATGTACCAACTGGCGGTTGAACGAACAGAGGCTGCAGTTGTAAACATACTCTCAGCCACGTCCGGTTTGTTCACTCTCATTTGTGCAGCTATATTTCCTAGTGGACCCACTGACAAGTTTACTCTCTCCAAACTTACAGCAGTTATCATCAGGTATCTGTGTTTGTAAATGGAACATATTCTATGCAGTCTTTCTTTTGTCACTTAAGGTGAGAAAAAGTTGACAGCTACATATTGCCAGGCCTGACATATGGAAGTGTATCATGGATAGTCGTTTTGTGAAAGAAAAAAAAAATTATGTGGAAGCCACAGAGATGTTCTATAGATTAATTCTGAGAGCACTTAGAAATTTTTTTTTTTTTTTAAACCTTGAAAGAAATTAACTCATGAAGAGAAATGCTTACCCACATCAGAAGGAGACAGTCTACATTCTTTGGTCATGTTGTGAGAAGGAGAAAACTGGAGTATATAGTTACTATCCTGTGGAAGGAGAGGCAGAGGAAGACAACACAAGAAGAAGATTATAGGCAGCATTTTGTCATATTATAGATGGATGTCAGCATATGAACTGATACATGCAGATTGTGGAGTGGCATGATTCCCCCACACCTGTCGGCTAGGCACTTGATAATAATGATCATGACTGGCTTTAGATAACTTTGTTAATATAGGTAAATAGAAATGAAGTTTTCCAGAAATTTCCTGTTAAGAAAAGATAACACGGAAGAAAACTGGTCACCCTATCTCTTATGTCTTGGCCTAGAACAGGTATATTCGACTGGCAGCCTCCGGGCCAAATCTGGCTTGCAGAGGCATAGCAAGTGGCCGGCAGATCAGTTGCTAACTGTACTGTACTAATGATCTTTCTGTGGTGGGGTTCAGGCCACTGGCCCACAATGCTTCCAGTTTTCTATCATTTTGGCCCCTGAGTCAGTTTAGTTAAAAGGCCCTGGCCTATAATGTGGGAAGGACACATTTCATATCCCAGCAGCAATGTCTGCTGTAGGGCTTTCTTCTTCTGTCCAGTGTCATCTTCATTATTGATGTTAACCACTTTAGGTATTGCCAGTTCCCTGAGTGGTTTCCAGGGCCCTGTTTTTTTTTTTTTTGGGGGGGGGGGGGGGAGAATAGAACCACTGCCCCTTCAGTAAGCTTGTCATAATCATCATCAAGTATCAGGCCATTTGCAGAGCGTCGCTTTTGTCAAGTCTGGCTGAAAGAAACTCAGTCTCTCCCCAGCATTCCCACCTTGTGCACTTGTATACTCAATGTGTCACTTAAATCATAATCCCCTCGTCATGTTCTCTGGCCCCTACGTCTTTGTCCTGGTGCCATGGTTTCTGCTATTACTTTGTCCAATCTGCAGTGTCTCTTGATATCTCCAAAATGTTTCAGTTTTTAAGACAAGACACTGTTTACACCAAAAGTCCCTGGTGTCTTCCTTAAGGACTGAGAGATAGTCAGCAACTCACATTTGTATGTTGCATGTCAATAATGGCGATTAATTAAGGGTTTACTGAAATTGGATGTATTGAGCTAAAAGGCACAGATTATGCAACCTAGCTGTAAACCACAGCACAACATGCTAAGTGCCATTTTAATTCTGAGGCAGAAGAAAAAGGTCTTATTAGCGACAGTCAGTTACAAACTGAATAAAAAGGACTATTTGTTTTTAAATGCCTGTGGCATATTAAGCATAGAGCTTTTGAACTGAAACACTACAAGAAAATTCGGAGAACATGATGGACCAAGAATAAGAGAAGCATGACATTCTGTGTTATATGAGGATCAAGGAGAACATACTCACAAACAGCATCCAGTAAAAGTAAAAAGTAAAGTCGGGAGATGTGAACCAGTGTCACTGCACATGGTAAAAAACCCTAAGTGCTTTGCCACCAGTACGTACAGCTGATAAGAAACTGTCCGTCTGTATCGCCGTCCGCACGCAACTCCGTAGCTACAGCAACATTCCTCCATTCACCTCAGAGTGGTAATTCTGGTACCCATTACCTAGAGGCTGGGTGAACCCCGGGAACCGCTCAATTCCAAACTCCGGTCGTGGGCTGCAGTGAGTCGCAGCTGGATTTGAAAGTGCGTCTCCTATCAGCTGCGCTAAGGCCGCCCCAGTTTTGAAAGCTAATGTGTTTTGCTATGTTAAACATCATGAGAGATTGGGGGGGGGGGGACTCAGTTTCCTGAAAACGATGCAGAGGCAGACCACCACAAAGGTGGATTAAAGACATTGAAGATCCAGAAAAAGAGATACTTTCAGGCATGTTGTGGCGAGAGCGGCGATCTGTAAGGGACCTGTTGTTTGATGATGGTGGTGATTAAGCACATGGTACAAGACGTGTTTTTATAGACCAAAGAAGGGGCATGTAGTCAACATCCTACTGACCTCCTTTACTTCCTGGTACCCCTTACCATTTTAGACCGGGTCAGCCTAGGAGACCAGGTCAGTTATAAAAAATATGATTCAGTGCAGATGTGAACCCTAGACTTTCAGGGTACCAAGCAGCCATCAAGCCACTGATACTGCAGTTCCTCGTTTGAGGCCAGAGAGGTTTAACTGTTTTTGTTAATTTATAATTAACGGTTTCTTGTTTTCGCAGTTGTTTAATTTACTGCTCATTGTTTTCCCAGTTGTTTGACCAGCTGTTTCTTGATTTCCCAGCTTGTTAGGTGTAACAATGGTATGTGAGGCAGATCTCAAGTTTGAAAAGTCTTTCCAGGTTGGAGCCTTGTGGGCTTTGATCAGCGCCATGTTTTATGCCTTTTACCTGGTTCTTATACGAAGGAAAATTGACAATGAGGATAAGATAGACATACCTATGTTTTTTGGTCAGTATTACAGTATTTGGTTCATTAGTAAATTTTTTATATATGCCTCTTCTTCTCCTGCTTCTTCTTCTTCTTCTTCTTCTTTTTCTTCTTCTTCTTCTTCTGCTCCTGCTTCTGCTGCTCCTCCTTCTCCTTCTTCTTCTCCTTCTCTTTATGCTTCTTCTTCTGCTGCTGCCGCCTCTTCTTCATCTTTTTCTTCTTCTTCTTCTTTTTCACTATTTCGAGCCCTAGAGGTTCATTGCTGCAGATATCACCTGACTCCATTCATCTTTCTAGTTGGCCTTTTCTTTATAGTTAATGACATTTAGTGTTTGTAGGTCTGCCTATATATTATCTCTCCATCCTCTTCTTCATGTTTTCAAATTTTATTATATGTCAGCAAACCAAACCCATGAATGGCATAATTGGATGATGATTAAATTTGAAAAGCCCAAATTCCTGGTGTCTTTAAAGAGGAGGTTTTAGAGAAAAATGTCCTTACACAGCCAAAATAATAATCTAAATGTTTGAAATAGGCAAAAACCAGAAGATAACTTATTACATACCTCAGAAAAATTATACATGTTATGACAACATTATAAAAGGTGAAAAGCTGGAAAATATTATGGCAACTACTGGAAGATATAACCACTGGAAAATTTTATGGAAAAAGAGATAAAGGAAGAAGAGTGAAGATTTTTGTCAGCCTTTTCCCATTGCATGGTAGTGTCTTCAGTATACAGACTGAAAGAGGCTGTTTGATATTGCAAGATTTAGAAAAGCATGATGAACCATACCAGTCGTATGACACTTGATGATTTTTGCTGGTATGTTTTCTTTGCCCTTTGGGGAAGCAAAAAATAGTAGCACTGTAACATACTATGAATATTGTAAGAAGTTACTATGGAATGTTGTAAGTTGCATGTTGTAAGAAGTTACATTCTTTGTCAAACTGAACAAATTGAACACTAATACACATTTTGCTACTTTCAAGGTTTGTCAAACTAAACAGGTTTAAAAAAAAAAAAAACCACTGATACAGTTCTTGGTGCTTTCAAGGTTTGCAGTATCAGCAGATAGTACAAACACTGAATGAGTTCTGGTTTTTTACTTCCAGTTTGAGCAAACAGAACAAACACAGAGCTATTTTCTATAGTTGCTTTTGTTGCAGGTCAGATGAAACCACACACACATACGCACACACACACAAAACACCACAAACAGAAGTGATGCATTTATTCTTGCTGCTTTCAGGGTTTGTAGGGGTAATATGTGCACTACTGCTGTGGCCAGGTTTTTTGATATTGCACTTCTCCAAGGAAGAAACATTTCAGTGGCCCACAAGATTACAGTGGATGTTCATACTTCTGAATGGGGCCATTGGTACGGTGCTGTCAGAATTTTTATGGCTGCTGTAAGTGGGTTTTTTTTAAATTGTGTTAATTTTTGGCTTCCATGTTTAATAAATGAGCACACAAATCTATATATCTATATCCTTTTCATGTCGCTGTGGACACATAAGGCATTCACAACTGATCTCCACTGCTGAATGTTTGCTGCTTTTCTGTCCATAGTATCCTATGTCAGATTACATTCCTTCATTTCCCATTCTGTTGTCCTTCTCCAGGTTTTCTTAGGCCATACCACGTCTCCTTTTCCCATCTGCTGTCCACCAGAGAGCTGTTTTTGCCAGAGAGTCACAAGGCATTCTGCAAACATGCCCAAGACATCTCCATCGTCTTACTTTGATGAAATTTGCCAGTGATGAACATTCTGTTTTCCTCCTCAGTTCTTCATTTATGATCTTGTTTGGCCAAAATTTTTGTAGAATTCTCCTTAAACATTTATTTTGAAAAATCTCAAGTTTATGTGTGATTCCTGCTGTCATTTTCCAACATTCACTGTTGTATAATAGTATTCCTAAAATGTTGCTCTTGTATATTCTGATTTTTGTCTTCAAACTAAATCCTTTTGACTTCCATATGTTGTCAGGGAACACACAGATAGTGGTGAGGATTTGAGCAATAATGACACATTAACTAATAAAGATACAAACAGTAATGGGGATCCACACAATAATGTAGACAAAAAACGTAATGAAGACACAAACAATCAAGAAAGTAAAGTAAAAAGTAAAGAGAACAGAAAAAGTAATAAGGACACAAAAAGTCTTCTTCTTCTTCTTCTTCACTTCCTCTTTTACCGCTGTGGGTGTCGAGGGAGATATAAAGTTCTGTTTCTGGCTCTTCTAGCCGCCTCGACCATAGGCACATCGTGCTGTTGTAGAGCTTCTCTGATGTTATCCTTCCATCTTGTTCTTGGTCTACCTCTTGCTCTACGACCTTCTTCTCTTTCCATGTATGCTTTGTATGGTATGGTGTCACAAGGCATTCTCTCTAAGTTGGCAAACCATTTCACTTGCTGTCTTTGTATGTAATTTAGAACACAAAAAGTAATTGCAGTAATTACAAAAACAATAATGAGAGAAAATAATAATATGGATACACACAATAATGTCAGCACAAACAATTAACTGCTGTTTTAAGTAATGACACATTGAATGTATTGCTACTTTAATTAATGAGCACACAATTAGTATCTTGCTACTTTTGGTAACAAGGACACTAACAGAATATTGCTGCTTTAGTTAATGATGGCACAAACAATATATTGTTACTTCAAGTAATAAGCACACAAACAGTATACTGCTACTCAAGATAACGAGAACACAAACAGTATATTACTACTCAAGATAACAAGAACACAAACAGTATATTGCTACTCAAGATAACGAGAACAGAAACAGTATATTGCTACTCAAGATAACGAGAACACAAACAGAACAATGCTATTGTAGGTAATGATGACACAACAGTATATTACTACTTTGAGTAATGAGGACACAAATAGTATTATGCAAAAATGTATTTCCTGGAATATTTTGCTGTGTCCCACCAGGTGCATACTGCGTAATGTGAGTAGTAAGTAAAGTAACAGACCTTCTCAACACCATTGATGCATTGAGCATTTGGTTCTAGATTCATCATTTTTTAGACATAACGAGTGATGTGGTCAGCATCCTGCCAGCTGCCTTTTCTTCCCAGGACATTCCTTAGTACCCATTTTAGGATCAATAAACCGGGGATGCAACCATAAATCTGGTCATTAACAGTTTGTTTTTATACACAAAAGTTTCTACCAATTTATTGCAATTAAATTTATGTTTTAAGATGTCACATCAATATGCTTGTAAACATTTGTTTGCTCACAGTGGCTGCTTCCTAACGTCTTCACTCATAGGAACACTCTCCTTGAGTCTTGTCATTCCACTCAGTATGGTTGCTGATGGAGCTGTTAAAAGTGTGAGTAGACACTATTTTAATAGAAATAATTGTAAAATAAATAAGGATATCCTGTTCCACCTGTCTGAATTTTAATAGTGTATTTCTTTTTTGTCTATTTAAATCATTCTTTTAAATAATATTGTCACATCGCAGATATGATCCTAGGCTCATATCTTGATATTCAGCACTTGATGGGTGATGTGATCCCCTTTGCTTCCCAGGAGATTACCTGGTACTCTTTTTAGGCTGGTTCAACAGGTGAGCCAAGAAGTCATTTTTGAAAGAAAAAATATCTCGGCATTGGTGCATATTGAAACCCAAGACCTTCTGGCTGAGTGTTTAGCTACTACAATTTAGCTCCCCCCCCCCCCCCCCCCCCCGACCCAAAGCCGGATGGGTATTAAATTATATTTTTTCCCAAATAAACCTTCTTTAGAAGACCCTGAATTCCTTAGATATCCCAGGTTCTGAGGATTTTTGTTAACAGGTAATCTGGGATTCTTTTTTCTGTTCTCTAGACTCTGTTCTACCTTTCCGCGTCAGGTTATGAAGAGGCATCAGGTACGAGCTAGTTAATGTTCTTTGGATATTTTCTCCAGGTGATGCCGGGGTGTTGAGAAATGAGCAGAAAGATAGACTGGCTGGTTCTGCACCACTTGGGGGTGAATTGATGTAGGACAAGCTGGATGAGGGCTCTTTTGGAGCGAGTGAACAGTGCGGAGGCACAAATAGATTATTTCAGTCTGAAGAGAATAGCACTGCAAGGAGCTAGCAGGAATCTCGCCGACGCTCAACACTCAAGTAAAAGGCGAGATGGATATACAATCAGACAGTTACCGGTGCCATCTGAATTGTAACTCTTTGCTCCCTGCTGAAGATGGGGCCAGAGTGCTAATGGGAGTAGCCCGAGTGCTAAGATGTCAGTTCTTAATTTAACATTCAACATATCTGGTACGAGAATTTATATAGGGGTGTAGATGCAGGTATTCATGGTTTGAGATGCTCCACTTATCCTCTTCTTGCTTTTCGTTACCTCTAGCTCTGCTTTCATTGTGCCTCTCTGTGGTTCATGTCTAGGTAGTCTTGAAACATGTCTGAACCATGTGATCTGTTGTCTCTTGATGCATTTTAGTCTCGCCTTTCTTCTTAGTGTCGAGCGTCGGCCAGATACCTTTGTAACTCCTCGCAGTGCCATTCTCCTCAGACCAAAATGATCTTTGCCCTTTAAAAGGGTGATTGATATATATTGTGGTTTACTGCTATGGCAAACACATCCTATTTCAGCAAACCTCTAATTGATTGCCTTTTATGACATGTGGCCTCAAAACCTACACATGAGACTTCAGTATTCTGTCTGCTTCCATTTTCTCCTTTAGGTTATATACTCCCTGAATACTTGAAGTCTTTTGTTTCCTTAAATTTTTTGGACAGTAGGGCTAAATGAGAATGTTGCCCTTTTGGCAATTTATATTTTCTAAAATATTATCTAAGACATATTATTTAGCCTATTTTTTCTGGGGACTTTTGAAACCCTATATTTGACTTTTCCTTACAGTTTCTTTGGCTGCAGTTTGGTGGAAAAAAAGAATGAATGAATCAAGAATTCACATCTCTGCACTTAGGATATCCCCAAATGTGCTCCGTCTCTTTCTTCAGTAGCCAACGAGGAGTCAGTATGCTAATAGTATATGTTGCAACCTGATTAAAAGTGTGCTTATGCCACCTGAATATCTTGGACAGAAAATCGGGTGGGGGGGGGGGGGGGGGGGGGAATAGACCCACATGCCAAAAAAGGCAGCTAATTATTGGTTTCATGTGATCTGATATGTTGGTATAAAGGTACATTTATTGCAGCATAGCTGTAAACCACAACAAATTTACTGACCGCCCTGTCAGGGTGCAAACACAGAAGAAGAAGACTTCTCCACAATTATATATTCTCACCATCCCTTTTACAGATTCATTACAGCAAATGGCTCTACTTGGGCTCAGTGCCGGTCATCTTCTCCTTTGTTGTGGTTAGTTTGTTGACCCACTGGGAAAACTGGGACCCCGTCATGCTCGGGATCAAGAAAATCTGGCAGTGCTTTTGCAGGAGAAGGCTTACTGTCCGGTAAGTGCTAGTCTGTGTGATTGTATAAGGGTGTTTTAGGTAATGATGACACACACAGTATATTGCTACTTTAAGTAATGAGGACACAAACAGTATATCGCTACTTTACGTAACGAGGACACAAACAGTATATTGCTACTTTAAGTAACGAGGACACAAACAGTATATCGCTACTTAAAGTAATGAGGACACAAACAGTATATCGCTACTTTACGTAATGAGGACACAAACATTAAATTGCTACTTTAAGTAAGGAGGACACAAACAGTATATTGCTACTTTAAGTAACGAGGACACAAACAGTATATTGCTACTTTAAGTAACGAGGATACAAACAGTATATTGCTACTTTAAGTAACGAGGACACAAACAGTATATTGCAAAAGTTTATTGCCTGGCATATTTTGCTGTATCTTTGTTGTTGTTGTTGAAATCTTTGAATGAATAGAGAAACAGTGAAAGTAAAACTAGCAAGCGTTGCTAGAACACATTAATGAACGACAAAACTAACGTAACAGCTAGAAGTACTTCACTAATTTACAACAAAAAAAAAGGTACACTGATTCAACTACCTAAACAAACTACACAAAACTGTCTTAGCTTTTAAGGCTTCCATCCATAAAAAGTTAGAATATTCAGGTGTACAGGAACATTTTAAATTGTATAACAATGATCTTTCCTCTTTATTGAATTGAGATTCTAACTAAGATGTAACAATTATCTTCCACTGTTGCTGAATTCATATTGTAACTAAAATATAACAGTTCCGTACTGTTACAAGCAGATTGTAACTAAAATTAAACTATTATCTTCTACTGTTACAAGCAGATGGTAACTAAAACTATTGTCTACTACTATTACAAGCAGAGATGTAACTATAATTTAACAGTTTACTTGCCCTTGTATTAAATACAATAAATGATTGTAACTAGTGTAATACTTCTCTTCCCCACAGGGTGCGAGAGCTAGATAGAGAACAGACGGCAAGTTTGATAACAGAAGAGAGTCATCACTGATCACAACTGACAGTCTTGCTTGTATTCATTCAGTGCTGTCTACCTCGTTTAATGGGTTTTATGTCTTCTGAACTTTGTAACATTTGTTATTGCTTTATTTTACATGTAAGTAAAGTAAAGGACCCTTTTCAATACGTTTAGGCGTTTGGGCTAGACCTATGTTTAGAGACCAATTTGTACAAGATAGGTGATGTGGTCAGCATCACGCCGGCCGCCTTTACTTCCGGGGACTGCATCTGGTACCCACTCTAGGCTGGCTCAGCCTGGGAGCCAAGATCATTTTTAAAAAGTCTGGCTCCGCTAGGGAGCAAACCCACGACCTTCCAAACCCCAGGTGAGTGACTAGCCACTCCACCATGGCGACTCTCTATCTCACGTGTAATAATTTATATAAAAATACCAGAAAATGCCCTGGAAAGTAAGGACAACTGGCTCGTTGTTGATGACACCACCCATTGAGTGCCATGGTAAATACAAATATTAATTCAGCATCAAAGCCCCAATGTGCTACTAGTGTGAAAATGGTTCATTACATTTTAATAATTTATTGATTCATTACTTTTTTATAATTTATTCATTAATCACTTTTTAATTATTTATTGATAGGTTTGGCACAGACTTCCATTTTAGTGATTTCACAAGAATTTAGATAACTGTGTTAATTTTTACAGAGTTCACGGTTATAATATAATTTAGGTAAAATAAAAAGTTAGAATAATTAATATACATTAACAGAATGTTGTGTTGGTATTTCCTTTTCCAAAAAGGCACGTCCCAGTTACCTTGTTCAACATCCAAGAATGAATGAACAAACTTTTTTTTTTTCAAAGGGTCACAAATTGGACATGCAGGCTCGTCTTATTCAACCCTTCCAAACACCCATCTTTCCCACAGCAGTTGTATTTAATTAGTAAGTACGCTGTGTTCATATAATAATATGCAAATTATGAATGTCAAGAAAAAACACATGGGTGGTAAAATGCATCACACTCTTTTAAAATTGTAATGAGGGTATCTGGACTGGTCACAAGACCCTGGTGACATGTGGGTGAGAAGTATGTCATGACGACCAGAGTGTTTAAACATTGAAGTGTTTATAGGTCATGCGGAACATAATTAAATGGATTCAGCAATTTTTATAATTGAAGTCAAGAGCATCAACTTCATTGTACCAGGTTTGATCCCATATGGCTTGGTATCTTCCCGCAGAATGGCTGGTCACATGCCGAGTGTGTCACACTGAACAAATTCCATAGCTCAAAAGACGATCCCCGGGCATTTCCTTAAAATTGTACTTGTGAACCGATCGGCGCAGCCATGAAATTAACCTGTAATCTTCAGACCGCGAGGCAAATAGCCTGACTAATTCGCAGCGAAGTACTGCTCAATTTTCATAATAAAAGAGGAAAGAGCATAATTATCTCTTATTTTTTTTTTTTGTATTTCTTCATGCGGTTTGCATAATTCAACATTCTAGATATGCATAATAGTCAGATATTCTTGGCCTGAGTGCTAAATTTTTATTTCAACAAAATCAAATTTTAACATCACAATCTCTCTGTTGCATGTGAACATTGTGTTGTATGAAAAGTAAAACTTCCTTTTGACATATTTAGAGTCGGAATTAACATGTATGCCTTTGGCATATTGTTAAGTGACAAATAGCAGCCTGGAAATTGTGCTTGAGTAATTTTGGGCAAAGTGCCAACAGTATGTTTTTTTTCTTCTGTGTGTGGTTTGCAGTATGAATTGGTCCATGCAGAGTGTACTAGTCAGTATTGTTCTTCTTTCTGATTATGGTTTTTAACTTAATCCACATGACTTTGTATATGTTGTATGAAAATAATTTCCTCGTATATTATACCTTCACTTCCCTCGAAGTCGGAGTACATCTGCTGGTGAGGCAGGGAACAGCAAACATGAAAGCCAGTGAAACAGATGTACACTAAAAACTCAGGTCCAGGTAAAAGAGTCCAAATGGACGAACTAGTGGGACCTTCCGCCGGAATTTACAGCCAGTGAACGAGAAAAATAAGAAACCTTCACTAGCTAACTTGAAGATCGAACTGTCTGCATTTTTTTTTTTTTACATCCATAATCAGGGCTGTCCCTTTTGTGTGTGTATGTGCTACATACACGTATATAAATGCATATATACATGCATACATACCTACATACACACATATGTATGTATATATATATAAGTGTGTGTGTGTATATTAAAAAAAAAAATCACTAAATGGTAAACTTATTCACACCAGGAGAAACGGCTAAATAGCTTTCACATGCGATGCCTAAGAAGAATACTTTGCATTAAGTGGCAGAACAAGGTCACAAACAATGAGGTATTGAAAAGAGCAGGTACTACAACAGTCTTCTCAATGCTCAGTTTGCAAAGGCTCTGGTGGCTGGGTCACACCTGGAGAATGGAGGATAGCAGAATCCTCTATGGTGAATTAAAGACGGGTAGAAGATGTCGAGACCGACCTCTACTAATGTGTGCAGACAAGACATGAATGATACAGGTACTGAGATGGACTCGTGGGTAAAATATGCCATAGACCATATTGTGTATAGGGGCACTCAGGAAGGGAATTATAATGAAGGCAGAAATGTTTGAAGAAAGGATGAGAGCAGAGCGCCTGAGAAGAAACATACTAAATACAAATGTTGACATGAATGGTCTTGAAATCCACATGCTAATTGTGGAAGGCTTTTCTTAAAGTGGGCGGGTATTGCTAGTCACACTCGCCATCGCCATGGGCTGTAAGTCCCATGCCTCCTCATACCGCTATTGTCTGGAAAGGTGATAGTGACTTAATGAAAGTGATGGTATGGCAGTGGTAAAATGACCCTGTCAGCTTTGTACTCCTAGGTCAAATCCTCTGTGCATAGCCTCATTGTTTGATTGCTCAGCTAGCTTAAATAGATAGAACACTGTTTTGTTAGAATAAATGAATCAATCAAGTGTTGGTATCACTGTGCTGGAGACTTTCCCATAAGTGCTCCGTCCCACTCCTGAGTCGCCAACAAAGAGTTTCCATATTGATGGTGCCAGTATCTTGATAGGAGTTAGGGTGTGCAATGTAATCCTCACCTGATCACCCATCAAGTATTGTTTGATCATGAAATTATGGGTTTAATGCCATCTCTAAAGTATGTCACAACAGCACGGGGAAAAGCTGGTTTGTGCACGTGTGAGTCTGTGTGCCTCCGGTGCTTTCCTGATCACGTTAAAAATGTCATCGCTTATCTATATTCATTATTTTCTCTCTATCTATGTTATACTTTATGTTCTCCCTATGTTAAACTATGTTCTCCCTGCCTACATTATACTTTATGTTCTCCCTGCCTACATTATACTTTATGTTCTCCCTACCTACATCATACTTTATGTTCTCCCTACCTACATTATACTTTATGTTCTCCATATGTTAAACCATGTTCTCCCTTCCTACATTATACTTTATGTTCTCCCTATGTTAAACCATGTTCTCCCTTCCTACATTATACTTTATGTTCTCCCTATGTTAAACCATGTTCTCCCTACCTACATTATACTTTATGTTCTCCCTATGTTAAACCATGTTCTCCCTACCTACATTATACTTTATGTTCTCCCTATGTTAAACCATGTTCTCCCTGCCTACATTATACTTTATGTTCTCCCTATGTTAAACCATGTTCTCCCTGCCTACATTATACTTTATGTTCTCCCTATGTTAAACCATGTTCTCCCTGCCTACATTATACTTTATGTTCTCCCTATGTTAAACCATGTTCTCCCTACCTACATCATACTTTATGTTCTCCCTAGCTACATTCATCATTAGTTTTCCCTAACTACATTAATCAATGATGTTTTCAACTACTTTAAACTATGTTATTAGTTATAAATATGTTATACAGGGTGACTTAATCAAATTTGGTCATCGATAATCCGGTTCGTTCAGATTTCTGGAGTACAGTATGCCTTCAGGCATAGAGGGCTAGATCTATATTTTATAGGCCAGTACTTCCTGGGTGATGTCAGCATCACACCGGCCGCTAGAGTACAGTAATGTTTTTTTTTCTTCGAATAAAAATTCCTATGGCTTTTTTCCTTTTTAATTAATTGAAATTCCGTGGAACTATTTAATTAGGTGAGCTAAATTCATGTAAAAATTGCTTATTTAGTTAATGAAAATTATAATATTATTTGCTTTTTATTTCATGTTAATTTTTTTCTTAAAGGATTTTGCAAGTACTCATTTTCTGTTTAATTTTTACGGGATATGTAATTATAAAAACTGGCATTTTCCCGAACGAGGGCACTTTTCAGGTCCTGAGTTTGCCAGATTTTGTAATGTCAACCTGTACTTCATATTTTTTGGATAAATTGAAATGTATAAATCACCCTGTGGAATTCCTGTATTGAAACTACCAGTTTCCTGCATGCAGTGACCACTTGGGTTTCACTAGATTTGTTTCTGTTACAGCAGAATTGATACCCTACATGGTTGTCATGCAGATAATGATGATTGTTTTGGTAGTGGGGGATGATCTTTTTTTTTAAAGAGCCGTTACTTTGCTCACTGTTTCAGCCGTATTTCTCAGAGATTCTATATTATACTGAGTAGTGTTTTTATTTTGGCATTATTACCTTGAATGTATGTTTATCCAGCTTGTGACATATCTTCACTTCCTATTTTAAGTTTAAGTATTCTCTGTAGCAGTATTCAGTCCACCGCTGGCTTGCAAGGTCTGCCATAACTTCACCAGAGCCCTGTTCGCCAGGACATCTTGGGGTGACCCATGATGACTTTCATGGCTACAGTCCGATATACAGATGGCTCTGGTGAGGGGCAGATGAAGTGCATAGGGGTTCATAGGGAAGGTGAATGGACGTTGCTTGGCGCAACAAAGCCTGGCATATCACAACGTCTAGTTTGAGAATAGAGGTGTAGGCAGTTACTGCTGCCTTCCATTGGCTTGAGAATCAGCTGTACACACATGTTGTC